CAGCCGTGCTTTCTTCTGAGAAAGTAGGTGGGTTAAACAATCTTTGGACTAGAGTGACGGAAGCCGCTAAAGATAAGTATATTGAGGGTAACTATAAAGGTTCATTCCTCACAGGTAAATCCCACGATGGTATTATATTTGCATTGGTTTTAACTATGGGAAATTTTGGATTGACGATTTCTGATTCCTCATTCTGGCAGAAAAGTTTTTCAGCAAGACCAGAAGCTACATTTCCTGGATACTTAACAGCCTCTATTGCAATTTTATCTAATGCATGGAGCATTGGAGCTATTCTCGGATCAGCTACTTTGTTTTTGGAAAACGATCCTTCTTTCCCTACTTACCCTAGAAAGATGACCGAATACGAAATAGCAAGTGGATTCCCTTTACCATACATTGTAAAGGCTACTCTAGGTAAACATGCAGTTGGTGGTCTCTTGTTGATCATTTATTTGTCCGTAACTTCAACAGTTAGTGCTCAAATGATTTCCGTCAGTAGCATCATTTCTTATGATATCTACAAAAAATATGTCAAGCCTAAGGCTAATAACAAACAGGTGATTAGGATTTCCCATCTCTCAGTTGTCGCTTTTGGATTCTTTGCTGCTGGGTTCTCAATAATGCTTCACTATGTTGGGATTACTATGACTTTTATGGGTTACTTTATCAGTAACGTTATATGTGTTGCTGTTTTCCCTCTTGCTCTTAGTATTCTTTGGGATAGACAAACACGTCTTGCAGCTACAGTCTCCCCGATAATTGGAATGATTGCTGCTTTTATTGTATGGGTTCTTGTTTCAAGAAAGTTTGCCGGAGGCGAGTTGAATGCTACAACATTGAGTGCCCAAGTTCCATGTTTATACTCTGGGCTCACTGCTCTTTTCCTCCCAGGTTTGTTATCGGTCATAATTAGTCTTGTTTATAAACCTTACAAGTATGACTGGAACAAATTCAAAGAAGCTCAATTGGTTATTGCAAGTGAAGAAGCTAGAACAAGCCAAGATGATTCTACTTCGAATGAGTCTATAAATCAAAAGTATGATGAAAAGAATAATAATTATTCAGTGAATGAATCCCCCCAAAAAGAAGCAGAACTTGAATCCCTAGGACTGGCTGAGAAAACGGATAAGCTTCTCAAGAAGTATACTAGGCTTGCTGCTATTGCTTTTGTGGTGACGCTATTAGTTACGTGGGTTATCTGGCCATTTGCTATGTACCGTGACTGGATCATGACTGAAGCTTACTATAAAGGATATATAGTAGTTGGTCTCATCTGGCTTTACGCAACCCTAATCGTCATTGGTTTATTCCCTATATGGGAGGGTAGACATGCAATAAAAATCATTGTCAAAGGACTTTATAGAGACTATATCAAAAGAGAGAAGCCTCAGAATTAATGGCTTCCTCTTGAACTCTTATATTTATTCTGTTTCCTACTACTTGTGTATTTTTCAATCTATGCTGGTATTGTATAATAAGCTGTAGGAACAATAATTGAATAATAGCTAAGCCTTACCAGTGAAGCGGTCAAATTAGGCCGTTGGAAAAATAATGGCTACTTATCAAGGAGCTAGAAGTACCCTTAGTTGCAAAAAGAACGAGACAAAAAGAAAAATCTATACTCAGTCAACTCAGTGTAATGCACTTAACCGACCCGCATTTTATCGTACATCCGACCCGTACTGTGGCTGCCTTTTAAAAGATGTTGCAAATTTATCAAAATTAGATCAACTATGGATTCGTTATCTATATAAAGCTTGATGGATCTCTTTATGTTTAATCTTGCGTCTGTTCTTGTATTCAACTAACCCTGGAAATGACGACAACAGAGCCAATCATCATTTTAGGTCAAGCCCCCGGATATGGGGTCTTGGTAGGACTTGGAAGTTTATTTGCAATTGGGATGATTTTGATTACAAAAGCGTTATCTAGATACTTACACGAAGATGCTAACTCAACTGAAAATTTTAT